GGCTGCGGCGACGCCCGTTACTTCGACATCTCCCGCCTGGCCTGCGGGCCGTGTGGGCCCCACCAGAGGCCGAGCGCCGACGGTGAGCGATCCGCGCCGCAGGGGGGCGGGCGAGCGGGGCTCCTCGCGGCTGGAGGTGCCAAATCTGGGCTCAGATTTGGGCTGCTTTAGTTTGCAAAACGATTGTTCTCAGGTACGAGTCTGAAAAGCAGTGGAAAGGGTCAGACCTTCCAAAAGGCATAGGTGTCCGTAGCACAGATACGATATCTGTATTCTGTTATATATCCAAGAGCAATATATGTACACCTTTTCTCTAATCTTTCTTTCCTTAGGCATTTCTGTTGTTACAAATGCCCACTTTTTTATCAGTAAAATTCTATAGGTCCCTAAATTTCTCTTCTTGAGAGCTTCCAAAACTTGAAGCTTCTTGTCAAAACTCACATGTCTGAGATCTTAAATATCTGAGACTTTCAGGCTGTGCACAGATTAATCCGAGTCCCATGTGGGAATGTGGAGGATGCTACACGTATTGACAGTACTAAGTGAAAAATGTACTAAGTGAGCAATGTTCGCTTTCTTTAAGAGACATGAGTGTATGATAGTGTTCCGCTTTTATGAATACTCAGTTTTGGAAAAGTGGTAGTTTCAGTGGTGTATGTACATTAACAAATCAAACTAAGACCCAACAGCTTATTTCTTTGGAGCTGGTCCCTCGATTAAACGCAGTCATCTGGACAGCTGCGCTCCCTTATGTGAGGTTCTGGCCAATGAACTGTTGCATGCTCTGCTTCCTACGGCGTAGCTACAGCAAGAACGATGGGTTGTCCCTTGCCTTTGTCCCCACGCTGTGGGATACTCTTGGCTTGAGACTGTTGCATAAAAAAAGATGGTCACCTGTCCCACCACCTTTAATGATATCTTAAGATATCCATAAGAAACATACTGTAGCGGTTTTCAGTTGCATTGATCATATAGTTATCTAAATCCGTAAGTCCTTTAGGCTTGAATTTTCCTCTAACATCACTGTTCTGCTCGGGGCTTCAAGGAAACATATAAATTCCAAGGCTCAAGGATTCCATGAGCTCAAGGATTTAGACTTCTCCACAGCATCTTCTTAGAGCAGTTTAGGTTTAGATTATAAAACCTCACCAAATTTTATGTGAATGTTTACATGCACGTTTCTATGACCTTAAATAATAATAAACACACACTATAAAACAGAATTGACTCTAAGTACTAATAAAATGTCTTCGAACTTACAGAGAGGGATCCACAATATCTTGAGAGTAAAAAGTTACTGGAAAAAAATGCTATTGAGTGTAACAAGCGTCTGCTGTGGTGTGCCATGGTAATTGTGTTTACTTTAATAATAAACATTAGGTACGCTCTGTTACTCATTGGAAACTGATCCGGATGCACAGTTTTAAAAGCTTTGAATTTAAAATAGCTTTACAAACTACATTTATATTTTTGAAAAAATCTTCGCATATAAAGGTTATGTTTTGTTTTTCAGAGTGATTTCCTATTCGAAGGATTAAAAACTGAATACAGACGTATGATGCTAATACTGTTGTCCAGAGGATGGGCTAAGTGAGTCAAGATTTGTACCAGTTATTAGATCAACTGGTATAGCTGAAGGAAGAACGCAAAGACACACACCTAGTATAGTTTTTCTCCCACTGTATCAGTCAACCTAATCTGATTTTCCCAAAACCTTTTTCCTACAGTCTGTAACATCTACTTTTTTTAAAAAACAAGGCGATTTTCATGCACATGACACTCAAGTGTTTTATTTGTGTACCTAAGAAACTAAACTGATCTCTTAAGAAAAATAACAGCTCTATTATGTGGAAAAAACAGTTTTGATTTATGTAGTTTAAAAGGGAATTATTTTTTTCCAGGTCATTCATGTGTATGTCAGCCAGGATTCAGGATGGTTTCTAATAATGGTGGGCCCTCTGTTATTTGTGAAAAATGCCCGGAAAGTATGGTAAGCATTGAACTTTTCATAGTCTGCCATAATAATGCTTTTTTAAGTCTGGAACTTCCATCTAACTGCAAGTTATTTTTCTTTAATTTTAGATTATTTTGAAAATCAGTGAATTTTTAACCTTAAGACCATGTAGTATTTATTTTCCTCTTTAAAACTGTTTATTATTATTAATTTGCAGGGACCTTTTAATTATAAAATTGTGTTTTTAGGCAAAGTAAGAGTATTTTAAATGTTTAATTTCCTTCTGCTCCTTTTCTCTTCTGCTTCATGTTGTGTTACTCTTACCCTGAGACCACTTCTTTATAGAAAGCCAAAGATGAGTTTCGGTTTTTTCGTTTGTTTGTTTGTTTTTTTCCTTATCTTATTTGGTTATTTATATAAATCCTATTTTTGTAATATTTGGGCTGTATCTTCGTACCCTGTCATTTATCTTTTCACTTTAAAAGCAGCAGCTCATTTTGCGTTAT